AGGCGGTAGGGACAGGCGCTGCCCGGGCGGGGCAGGTGCAGGGCGGGGCGGGGGCAGATCTGGCCGCTGCTTGCACCGCAGAGGGCAGGGAGGGGGTGTGCCCCTGTATCTGTGCGGGGCAGGGTGGACTGCAGCCGGGGCTGTGCGGGGCTCTTCTCAGCGGGGGCTGGGCTTGGAGCGGGCACTGGTGGCACTGGGAGGATGCTGCATCTACCCCAGATTTCGCTGCTGCTCCACTCCAAGTGCCACTGCCTCCAGCTGCCAGCCCGGCTCTTCCCAGCTCATGTGTGGAGGCGTGGCGTTGAGACAGAGCAGCACTAGGTGGACGGCGGCGGCGGCGGCACTGGGAGCTGAGCTGCAGCGAAATTTGGGGTGGATGCAGCATCCTCCCAGCACTGCTGGCTCCCACTCCGAGACCAGCCCCAGCTGCAGTCCACCATGCCCCGCGCAGATCCAGGGGCACACGCCCTTTCTCCCCTCTCCCCCTGTGCCCTCCCGGGGTGCAAGCGGCAGTGAGAGCCACCCCGCCCCTCCTGGGCAGTGCCTGTCCCTGCCCCCTCCCTCACCACAGGGGGTGTTGATCTGCCCCCCACACCCCTTCCCTTCCACCACACCCCTTCCCTTCCACCACACCGGTCTTACCAGCTGGAGGCAGCTGTATCAGAAATCGGATCAGTATCAGCCAATATGCCTCCTTAAATATCGGTATCAGCCCACAAAATCTCTATCAGGGCACTCCTAGTTTCCAGTCATTAAAGTCAGTTTTGCCATGGACTCTAGGGGAGCCACTTTTTCATCTCTAGGCTCTCTAAGAAGCTAAATATTTTATAAATATCCTAGTGATTAGGGCTATACATGTATGTGCATGTGTATGTGTATATCTGTATATGACCTTCCTAATCACGAGTACATGTGTGTGTGTGTGTGTGTGTGTGTGTGTGTGTGTGTATGTGTACACATATACGTTTGGACTTTCCAAGGCCCAATATTTCAGAGGTATTACTTTTAGCAATCAGTCCATTTGGTTCTGCATCAACAAATAATGAGGAATTGCTGTAGCTTTCAACAATCTACCTTTTGTAATCCTTTCTCTTTGATCATTTAAAAGCTTTGGTATGGAGCTGTCTTTTAGACTAAATCTAAGTAAATAAATACAGTGCTTCTCGTTTCTATTTAATTGGAAAGAAACAAGATGATACCAAATAAGCTAAGCCATTAAGTAATGTACACCCAACAAAGTAAGCATGTTGGAGGGTAATAAAGCAAATATACCTTAAGGGACATCTTGGAATTGAAACTTTGCCTTTGCCTGCTGTAGTCATGCTAGTATCTTGTGCAAAACAGTAGCAGCATCTCATTGTTGTGCTTCTGTAATCTGTGTAAAGTTACTACTGTTCTGCACATCAAAAAATCAATGTTTAATACATTTTTCCTTCTGTGCCCACATTTATTTCCCTCTCCTGCTGATGGCATGATTACACAGACAAAGGCAAAGCTTCCAAGATCTTTCCTTATAAGAGCCAAGACAGATTTAATTCTTGGTTCTGTTGGGGATGGTAGGTCTGAAACCTACCAGAGAGCAAGTTTGAGTGTATCTGACCATCAGTACATTATCTTTATCTGGGGTCGTTGTCCTTTCTAAAATAGCTCTTGTGAGTTCAGTAACAGGAAAACTAAGTGTCGCTTTGCAGACGCATCACAGTATGGTACCCATTTAGAAAATTCCTGTTAAAAGAACTAAATGGGAAAAAAAAAGAATATAATAGAGATAATTTTATGATACTTTCACTTATTCTGCCTCAAAATAGGAAACTACTGAACTAGTATTTTCTTCACTTCTCAGAGTTTAGGTCGTATATTTCATTGTTAGCGGTTCATATGTTGGTTGTTTTATTACTATTTGGAAAGATGGATATTTATGCATAACCTTTGGTCATAAAGGTCATGAGGGAAATTTGTTGCATTTTAAAACTCCTTTATGCCTAGTGTCTCTGCAGTAGCATAAGTAGGCCGTTGAATGAAGATCCCAGGACTCGTCAAAATAACACCTGGTTCCAGTCATGTGTTGGGGGCTAATTAGCACATGGATACTTTGTGGGGGGTATCTGGAGTACACAAACATACTGAGCAGTGCTGAACTGTGGGGTCACCATGACTTTAAACACTGTTGACTCTGCTAGGACCCAGCCCAGTGAATGTATGGTAAATCATGAATCTTTGTCTTTGGACCTAATGTCATGCATAGTTTGTACTACATACGAGTGCCAATGTGCTGCTCAAAAGTATGTTTATGGAATATCTATGGTAAAACTTGCAACAATTTCCAAAAAAAGGTAAAATACATCGAAAGTCTATAGATACCTGTAGCAATTTGCCTATGTGCAGGTTATGACAGGTATGTTTCTTTCAAGGTCAGTGTTTTCAGATTTACTCTTTACTTCCCTGTGCTCAGGAAGAGCAGGGTTTGACAGTATGTAGCAGGGGAAGGGGCTACAGAAGGAAGAAATTGAGGGGCAGAGGGCAAAGGGGTTACTTAACCCCCCCCCCCCCCCGATTTATTTTCACTATTGTAGCATGTAGCAATGTGAGGGAGACAATTTAAGGCAAACCTCCAATAATTATTATGTACCTGGAAAATCGTAACAAATTTATACATTTTCCATAATAGAATCTAATTATTGGGGTGGGGGGTCGCATATATTCAGGATTGTCGTATATATTTGAGTAAATACAGTAGATGTAATCCATCTGCCTGTTTTAACTGTTTCCCTCTGCTCACTGGTCCATAATGGACACCTGCCAGATATTGTACTTAATCCTGTTGTTCAAATGATTGTGGTGCTGTAGTGTTGAATGTCCAGTATTCAGTCTTTGCTGATAAGGCGGTCATTACCTTAAAACAATCTAGGAAATTAATTCATTACAAAAAAATCCTATTCTGAAAATATGTTAAGGTTGCAAAGTGTAGAACTGAAAAGTTAGGAAAGCAGTTTTCACAAGGTATTGATACATTTACCCTCTCCTGGCAATGCATTCTGATAAACTCAAAGTACATGATTGCATGCTATTTTTTCCTCAGATTTTGACTCATTTCAGTGCACAAAATGGATAGTGGTCATGGAATGAATTGAACTTGTGTAG